TCAAAAAGTAAAAACCAGGACACCCCAAAAATTCTTGAGATTCTTTTTAGGAAACCCCAAAGATCTGGAGCTTTTTATTTATTTATTTTTTTACAAAGATTGACTTGCCTAAGATACAAGACTAAGCGCCACATTTCGGAAATTTCCCCCGGACATCATTTACACCTTTGAGAACTGGATGTATGGCAGCCCTATCATATTGTCAAAGCAAGCATCAAAAGACACTATGTTTTATTTTCCAAGCAAGCATCAAGACTATTGGCTTCAGAAGCCATTGTAGCCTATGCTGGAGCTGAGCCAAAGGGGGAAAGTGCTGAATCATCTAGCATAGACAGTATCTAATGTCTTGTGAATACCATATGCCCCAGTTCCCACATGTTTCATCTAACCAGAAAGCACATGTCGTTTTCTCACTGTATATGGTTTTCCATAATGATTTTCCACTTGGGTCCTCTTTAAGTCTTATTATGCTGCCCCAATTCCAAACTTTTAGACCATTTAGTTTTCCTTAGAGTACTGCCCCTTAGAGTACTGTGGCTTGCGCACACATTTAGAGTATATCCTGGCAAGATTTCCATATGATTTGTACCCTGAAATATTTGTGCAGTCCCCACTTTATCTTGCATGATCCTCTGGGTTTTCTTTACATCCAAGCTTATTATATTGGCACAAACCTTCTATATTATGCACCAGTTTCTCCCATGCAAGCCATAGGCTAGTAGCGCTTTATACATCAACACACATACACCACCTCTCAGTGTAAACAGCAAGCGAGTCTGTCAGAGATCAGATGCTACATAACTCTCAGAAACTCCAGGATTGAGATACATTAGGAAAAACACTGACAGAGCAGTCTTTTTCTATTCACATGGGTTGGCAAATTAGAAAGCTTTTTCTCTTAAAGTGAGTGCTGAACTGCTTAAGTGGCTGTGCTGCTCTGCTAAAGCCTTCACTGCTGCTCATACTATCATTTGTGCAATGTGGGAGTGAGGTCATTGCATACACATAACCAATGGTTAGGTCACATGCAGTATACTTTTATTATAACTCAGCCACCAAACGCCACGCATCTCAGCATCAGAGAAATTTCTTAATAAGTTTGGGGTTTTTATGCCTCTGAGTTTGTTGCTGACTGTAACAGGGGAGAGGAATGGGGTTGCAAAAAAATTAATTACATAAATAACCAGGTAAAGGTTTTGCAAGATGTAGTTTAATGGGCTCTATTGAAGCGGGATAAATTTTCCCGCTGGTCGTAACTAGAGCAATCAAACTGAGGCACATAAAAAGGTCACTGAGTCCATCGTATTCTACAATCTCAGAGTAGCCTCTTTATTCCATAGACAGATAAAAACAGAACCCACAGCAAATGTTAACATTCTGATAGAGATCTTGCTTACAATAATAAATTACCATTGGGTGACACCTAATAGGTCAAGCAGTCCTGTGTTCTATTTTTGTCTCTCATTTCTCTCTCCCTGGCCCAACCAGCTCAGGAATCTTCTCCAGAGTTAATCTGTTGTTGTTGTTGTTTTCCCAGTGGTGTTTAAAAACAATGTGTTTTACAACTTTCCAGTGGGAAGGACATTAAGCTCATTGTTAAGGTTACTCCCATTACGGTGTTTCGGCAATAGGAAAAAGTCTTATTTCAGAACTCTTTAGTAGACCAGAATTCTGATCCCTCTTTTGGGTTATAGTTGCCCTACAGCTATCCCTACTTAGCAGTGGCAGTGCTAGCAATATGTCTGAAACATTAGTTCCGATACTTGAACAAGGCGAAAGCTTCAGGTTAGCTGCTAGACTCCAGGTACTTCGGTCAATAGCTAGTTAATCTAGCATGATGATCTCATAGTCTTACTGGCTGGTGATATGGCTGATAATGCTGAGAGGACAGCAAAGAAGACAAGTGCTTCTCTTTTTATTTTTAAACACACTTGCTCCCTTTCTTATTGCAGAGTCCACATGCTACCCTCTCCCCAACTTTCCAGTGGACACAGGCTTCACTATTAGATTCACCACGGGCCCTGTGACTCTATGCCTTTTCATTTAAACAGCATCTTTACCCAGCTTTATTGACATACTTCAGTGCTTTGTTCCTGAACAATAGCGATGAGCTCATCTAGGTGCATGTTGCCCTGTGGGGGGCCTTGGGGGAACTTTACTTTTCAGCACTACAATGGAGCTTGTTTGAATGATCAGCTGAAGAAATCCAGCATGCTGCAGCACATATTTGCCTAGGTCTATGTCACCTTGCAGTGTAATTATTAGTAGCAAACATTTCTCTTTGGACTAAGCTGTCTTCCAAACAAAGAGATGTAATCTGCAGTCATTCATTATCACCTGGAATATTTTTCTCCTGATAAGAACTGAATGCTTTTCCAGGTTGCTATTCTGCCCTTAGCTGCCGATAGCTGTGAGTGGATGATCTTAGACTTAGAGGGTACCTTTAGTACAGGCTTCAGCATCTTCCTTCAAAGGAAGTTTGAGCAGTCACCTTTCCTGCTGCACCTCAGGCCATGTTTGGATAATTCAGCTGACCTGCTTCCTGTGCAAGAGAAGAGCAATTGCTTTCCTCCCTTGCCCACTCAATACAGTGGTACCTCAGGTTAAGTACTTAATTCATTCCGGAGGTCCGTTCTTAACCTGAAACTGTTCTTAACCTGAAGCGCCTCTTTAGCTAATGGGGCCTCGTGCTGCCAGGGCATGATTTTTGTTATCATCCTGAAGCAAAGTTCTTGACCCAAGATACTATTTCTAGGTTAGCGGAGTCTGTAACCTGAAGCGTATGTAACCCGAGGTACCACTGTATGTCTGTCCCACTTATGTTATTATTATTGATTAAATTTGTATACCACCCTTCATGTGAAGATATGAGAACAGTTCGCAAGAGAAGAATACAAAGTGAGAATGCAAGATACATAATACAGCATAAACAAAAACTAACCAATAACCCCCCTCCACACACACACACACACACACAAACAAAAAGCCATAGAATGTTAATCAGCCTGGTTGAAAAGAAATGTTTTTGCATGGTGTTTAAAGATATGTAATGAAGGCACAAGTCGAGCCTCCCTGGAGAGAGCATTCCACAATTGGGGAGCCACCACAGAAAAGGCCCCTTCTCGCATTGCCATTCTACAGACCTCTAGTGGAGGAGGCACATGAAGAAGGTGTTGCCTACAGAAGGGCCTCATATAATTGTTTTGTTTTGTTTTTTAATATTGTAATTATATGTTGTGAACCGCCCTGAGATCTACGGGTATAGGGCAGTATGCAAATTCATGATGATGATGATGATGATGATGATGTCTGGATCAATTCATATGGGGAGAGGTGGTCCTTGTGTTATTGTGGTCAAGAGCTGTTTAAGGCTTTATAGGTCACAACCAGCACTTTGAACTAGACCCAGAAACTAATCCCGAGCCAGGATCGTTATAATATGCTCAAAACATCTTGCCCTGGTAAGCAACCTGATGGCTGAATTCTGCACAGCTAAAGTTTCTGAAACATATAACACATAGCAGTAATCTAACCTAGAGTTAATGGCATCGTCATGCATAAAAGACAACGTGCAGACCAAGATTGTGTGGTCAGTTCCCAGATTATCCATCTGAGATATCCATCACACTGCTCCGACCTATGTGCATTAGATTTATGCACATACATGCTATAGAAACCTGCTCATATGTCTGTCAGGACAACTGTGCCCAGTGGGTGGAGAAGGATGTTGCAATCTTCCACATGGGAGATGACCAGGAGAGATTATCATCTAAACCAGGCCAGTATTGTAAAATTCAAGGTAGATTAAAACCCTATAATACTGAACATTGTACCAGGGCAGTTTGATGAAAGGCTGCAAGATAAATTTCTTTAAGCTCTCCTGGCTCCATGCAACCTTAGTAAATACTTTTGCCTTCAGGAAATCTCTAATACAGAGATTGGATAGATTAGCAGAGAGGGCTGTTTGCCATCAGCACATATTCTCTGGGAGCTGAGATATGTAGGGAACATACCTGGGTCTACATCCTTAGCTGATAAAAATCAGCAAAGTTTCATCCATTTCAACAGAGACGTGCCAGTTACCACCCACAAGTCTGCCTCATGAACAGAGAAGTTGCTTAGATCATCATCAGTGGGGATATCTAAATTTTGGCTTGTTCCTCTTAATCTCAGTGTCATCGTTGTGGAATTTAACCCCTTTTAATACTAGATGCCATGATTCATGAAGAAGCTTGCTCTTCTAAGCATCCCCCTTTACTTTGGCGCCTGGTGTGAGGTCAATTATAATAATATAGTCTGACTTGCATACTATAGCATATGGGTTGCCAGTCAGTGGTGGCGCCTCTCTTTTATGGAGTACCCTCCCCAGGGAGATATGCCTGATGCCATCATTAGCAAAATCATTCTTATTCACACAGGCCTTTGGGTCTTAATTTTAGCAGGTTGGGATGGAGTTGGATCTATATATATATATATATTATTTGTGTATTTGGGGCTGATTTTCATTGGTTTCAATGTTCATTTTTAAAAGTTGCCTTGAGTTGGGGGGGAGTGACTAATAAATATATTCATCTTATATCAGGTTATTACAAGTATAGGTTGCCAAAAGTGTTGAAGAGAACAGCCATGCAAAATGGACAAAGTGTCTTGTTCAACACAGTTCTAGTTTTTCATTTCCATTTTATTTGATGCTATTTCAGGTGAACTCCCCGCCAAGTGATCTGGTGTTTTAAGCATTTGGAGCAGTTGGTCAGCCTTTGCAAAAATGATAATGCATTGATCAAAAGCAGAAGATAGATAAGGAAGCATATGGAAACTAGCTAACACAAGAAAATTCATTATGTTGCAGTCTTAGATAGTGCTGATTTCTGAGTGGGCCAAGAATCTAGTATCTCTTTGTAGGTAGAAATGTCATCAATCAAACTTCCTTTTAAAAAACCCAGTTGTGCACAGTACATCATGTTGTCACTGAAACTGGTTTTATTTCTTGTATGTTTCAGATCAAAAGGACCAGCCATATTGCGTTTGGGAAGGAACAAGTCCAGTGCTGCAAGCCATAAAAGTGAGGAAAGACACCTTTAAAAATGAACCTGAAATGGTTTGATCCAGTTTCCCCAGTGAGACTCCCTAGTACACATCAGCAGTTACAATATGCAGGACTGCAAGCAGCTGGAGCAGCGAACACGTGCTTGATAAGTGTAGATACTATTTCTTGGTCTGAAGCAACTGTTCCATATGATGGCTACTAGATTTTTCTGAATAGATAACGAACTCCGGAGTCTGTAATCTTACACATTCTCCTCAATTAACATTTGCATATTGGAAAGTAGTACACGCAACTTCCTTCTTCAGTTAATAGTTGTGTGTTTTTCTGTACATTTTATATTGATCCCTATCTCTTGTCTGATGCAACAAAAGCTCATCTACTGAGATCTGAGAAGCTGCAGTGAACTTTGTCATGCTTCAAAATGTGTACGGCATGATTTTCATAGCACATTACCAGTAAAATCTAAAAGATCAACATGAATCACCACTACTTGGTTTCCATTCTCAAAGCACTATACAAATATTAGCTAATGTCATTCAATCTTGCTTTATTAAAGGATATACCAAACTAATAGGAAAAAATGACAGAATTTGCCCATACGTGAGAGGAAGGATATATTCACATGGCTGTTTTGCAGAGCAACATGCAGCCAATGCAAGCCACACTCAGCTGTGATGTCATCCTGAATCTCTCACCAGGAGAAAAATGTGGACATGAAGGGGAGACCCGTTTTGGTGGCAAAGTCAGTCCAGCAGCCAATGTGCTATGAGTTAATGATAACCACAGTAACAAATAGCCACTTCATGAATATTATTTTGATGTAACTGTTACAATACTCCTGTACAGTAGATCGGCATTATCTTCCCCATATTACAGATATGGAGCAGAAAGAGAGTGGCTCATCACCAAGTAGGTTTATGGCAGAGATGCTGTTAAGAGAACTTTTTTAGCTGCCATGTTACAATAGAGTTCAGATGGAAAGATACCTGCTTTTAAAATGGATCCACTTAGATTGCTTCTTTCACTTTGGTTAAGCACACAGGTGCCAACCTACACACTCCAAGGAGGCCAGGCAATATCCTACCTAAGGACTACATTGTCTTCCATACTTCAATAACAGGAGTAAAAAAAAGCAAAGGGAGTGTAAACAGTCTATCTGCTACTAGTTTTTACAAAGGACTAGACAAGGGATCAGCGAACTTTTTCAGCAGGGGGCCAGTCCACTGTCCCTCAGACCTTGTGGGGGGCTGGACTGTATTTTGAAAAGAAATAATGAACAAATTCCTATGCCGCACAAATAACCCAGATATGCATTTTAAATAAAAGCACACATTCTGCTCATGTAAAAACACCAGGCAGGCCCCACAAATAACCCAGATATGCATTTTAAATAAACGGACACATTCTACTCATGTAAAAACACGCCTATTCCCGGACCGTCCGCAGGCCGAATTTAGAAGGTGATTGGGCCGGATCCGGCCCCCGGGCCTTAGTTTGCCTACCCATGGCACTAGACAGTGTGTTGGGTTGTTACAGAAGAGAGCAATTGGTTCATAGCTGAAGTGAAAACTGCAAATTGGCCATATCAGTAGGCTTTTCCTGCAGAGCAAAACCTCAGTCCCAGCCTAAGGCAAGCCAAATCTATTTGGCTGGTAGGTGAGAGTTAACTGCAAGGTGAAAATGAGATACCATGGTTAAGATGAGATCTCTTGGAGAAATATCTCCACTACTCAGCCTGGCTAGGCTACTGTCTAGGTGCCGAGTATTCTCAAAATGATGAGGAATGGACAGTTTTGCTAATTCAAAACAGTAAGACAGTAACTTAAACAGTAAGACTTTTCCCATTCATTTCAGTGGAGAGAAACACAAAGGAAACCCAGAACTGCCCCTTCACTGAAATGAATAGGAAATTATTTTACTCAAGTAGGGAGGGAGGATTCAGTGCATACAAAAGAGCTCAACATATCATCACATGACCGTTACTCGGCACAAACCCATTTAGTTAAGCAGAAACCATCTCTCTTTGTCCTTCAAGCCATCAATAGAGCCAAAGTTTTTATTTTTAATGCACACGTAGACAGGATAGTGTCAATCCAAAGATAATCTTTTGGAAGCATATCCTCACATTGGCTGTCTTCTCCAGTCACAAAGAACTTGTTGCTACAGCTACCAACTGCATTGTTCTGTTTCATTGAGCCCCTATTTTTTAAAAAATGCAAATTAGTTCTTGAATGGGGGAATGCTCCCCACCTTCTGTGTTACCGGTTGAGTAACTTAAAGGAAAAGGGAGCTTCCTGTTTTGATGGCATAGCCTACCTTTAAGTGTTTAACTGGATAGAGCAGGAACATCATTTGAACTAGATAGCCAATGAATATTTTGTGGAAGTATTGAGAGACACAGAAGTTCTTCTCTTCCTTTTCTTCCCACCCCCATCCCCCAAATGATCACATGCCTAGTTCCAAGACCTTTCAGTAGCACAATAGGCTGAATGGCAAGGAAAATTCCACAGAAGGACGTTTAGGTCTCCGGGGAACTACCATGGTCTGTGTAAGCCTAAAATCTTCAGGGGGCGGAGGGCAGAAAGAGAGAATGTGTATAGAGTGTACTTAAAATTAAAACACACACACAAAAACCTCTACAATGCAAGAGTTGTTTAACTAGATTCTCCTGTACTGTCAGAACATAATGGTTTTGCAAGGACAAAGCTCTTAAATATTTTCCTCTGTCATTTTCTCTGGAGATATTTTACCCAAGGGACTGGTATATTTATAAACATTCATCATTTAAAGTTTTATCCCTTCCTTCACTGCTTTGTAAATAAAATAATTTAAAGATAGAGAAACTGAGTGAGATACTTGAAATTACACCAAGTTGTTGGCAGATTTTTGGCAGAAAAGGAAGAAATGCAGTTTCCCCACCCCCTTTAAGTCCCATGCCTCAGATTCTAGACAATATTCTGTCCCCGTTTTAAATCTTAAGGCTACTTCCATATCTGCAAACGTCCATCACAGTCTTTGTTGCTTGTCATTCCTGCTTTGTTGTTTGTCGTTTCCATGAAGCATGCTTTGTAAGCCTTGTACAACTCTGTTTACAGTACAGTGCATACATGTTTGGGCTCTATTAGGCTGGATAACATTTTATTGTGAGGGTGACACTTCCCATTTGGACCTGACAGGCGAGGCCTTTTGCCTCCTCTTTTAAGGGGTGGAATCATTCTGCCCTTCAGTTACCCTGCTGTTTTTGGTCTTTTCTTCTCTTGGGAAAATCCTTTAGCTGGGCATTTTAAGTAATCTGCTAGTGTTTTCTTCTTTCTTGTGTCTCCTGTCTCTTTCTTCCTCTACTGCATCCTCAACCTCAACCTTTTCATACCCAGGACCCACTTTTAACCCAAACATGCATTTGGGGACACATTTCTTAATCTGTTACCATATAGTTGCATGGTGGTAGTGCTCCTATTGTGACCCACCTTGAATCAGTCCACAAATCACTAGTGGGTCCCGACCCACCAGTTGAAGACCAGTGTCTTGGGCTGTCTGGGTTTGTTCTCTGTGTTTTCCTTCCTGAACTCCTCTGAATTTCCCTGTGTGGTGGTTGTCCCCGTGGTTTGCCTCTTCAGCTTTTCATTCCTGTGCCTGTTCCTCTTCAAATAGCCAAACAAAATCTCCCCCATTTGTTTGTCCCAATCTCAATCTTCTTCATGAGGTTTTTGTCCTCCCTTGTCCACTGTCCATTTCTTGTGAGTGGAGAGAAGGCTGTAGCCAGAGAGTCACGTCTGTTTGGCTGTAGCCAAAATTTTAGGGCAGGAAGTTTGGCAAGCCTCCTAACTAAACTATCAAAAAAGGAGTGCCATTTTGTTTGGTACACTGTATTTTTTTGCTCCAACCAGCTCTGCTCTGTTTGGTGAGTCCTGCAACCCTCATTCTGAGCAGGATCGCCTAACGGGCCACTTCTTTGCCTTCTGCCTTAAGAAATCAGTGCAAGCAGCCGGCACAGCCATCCACAAATTCTCTGGTGTGCAGCAATTTGGGAGAAACACAGCACCTTTGCTTCTGGCCATCTTTGAGGCACGCTGGCTTTATTTCCAAGGTGGTTAGGGCCTCTGTTAAGTCTGCTTCAAGGAAGCACCAAAAAAGGGAGATGAAAACACAAGCACAGCTCCAGAAGGCATGAGAGGGCAATCTTACAGATCTTATAGTTATAGCAGCTCTGTGACGCCTCCCCAGAACTCTAGGGCACACTTGCCTTGCAGAGTGGAACCAGCTGCCCAAGGGGCCAGAGTGAATTCACAGGTTCAGATGTCCCAGGTTTCATCTCAGCTGCAGGCACAAGCTTTCCAGCCTGTGTCCTTATCACCTCTGCCAGGGGTAGGCGACCTAAGGCCCGGGGGCTGGATGCAGCCCATTCGCCTTCTAAATCCAGTCCACAGACAGTCTGGGAATCAGCGTGTTTTTACATGAGTAGAATGTGTCCTTTTATTTAAAATGCATCTTTGGGTTATTTGTGGGGCATAGGCATTCGTTCATTATTATTTTTCAAAATATAGTCTGGTCCACCACATGGTCTGGGGGATGGTGGACTGGCCCACGGCTGAAAAAGGTTGCTGACCCCTGACCTCTGCTCTAAAGTTTAGAGTCCTAATTTCATGCAAGATGAGGGCATGTTTGAACAGGAAATTGCAGTTTTCTGACAATTTGCACCTACAAAGAGCAAAAACAAAGGCTGTCAAAGTACAGGCCACAACTCGACTTGCTTTCAAATTGGACCCTATCTTTGTGATCCTGAAGCCCAAAGATTTGAGGCTAGTATCATTACCCTTGCTACAAGCTCTGATAAAAGTGGTAGGCATTTGAAGATAATATATTCTTCCTTCCACTGCTTATTTTTACAATATTCAAACTCTGGAACAAAACTATCTCCCCACAGTATATAAAAATACATTTTTTAATAAATAAATAAATGTACTGAAGAGGATCCAGCTGCAAAGTGATCTGATGGCAGATGTAAGCACTATGAAATCCAGAACTAATAAATAAAAAGTCTTGTCCTGAGGGAAAATAAACAACAACGAAGTGAAATGGAGTGCAAGGGGAAGGGACACAGCCTCAAATTGCACTTGATGTCACTGCTATACAGTGAGTTTATTTTCATACTAAGTTGCTTGCACTTTTATGAGACCAAGAGTCCTAAAGACGATGAGGGATATGGGATTGTGTGGAAAGGGCCTGTCTCATTTCTCACATAAAGATGTAATGTGTTACTTGATGGGATGCCTTGTTGGAGCCTAGATCCTAGCAATGTGCACAGCCCCCAAGATTTGTCTTGCATCTGTGCATTAAAAAAATAATAATTAAAAATCAATCTGTTTCTGTGTCCCTCTGTGGTAACATTGTTCAATGTTCAGATGTCACAAGTGTTGATTAGGAGCCTCAAGTTAGTGAATAACTTCCAGAAGGATTTGTATCAACTGAATCAACTTCAGTAATTGAAATTCAGTTTACCTATAAATTGGCCATGATTTGTTTGTCAGCTGTGGACATACAGAGCCAGCAGAGACTTCATCTCTCAATAGGTAGCAATGAGAATGTCCAGCCCGGGTGTGAAACAAAATAATTATGCCTAATACATTCCCCTGCCAATAACATCGACAAACAAGAACATGCCAGAGCAGCTTAGTTCCCTTAACAAATCCATGTAGGCTGCTAGCAATCGCTCCACACTTCTCATAATATCTCCAGGACTGAAGGTTGGCAACTGCAGCTGTAGCTGCCAGGGTCTTTTCTTTTTTGAGGCAAGTGCTCAACTCTGCTGGGGCCATTCCCTCACTGGTGTTGTTACTGCAAGCTCAAGATTTAGTATTTGGTCCTTTAACTGGCAACCTTTCACTGCTAGGAAGTATACTATTATTAGTATTAGTATTACATTGGTACCTCGGTTTATGAACTTAATCTGTTCCGGAAGTCCATTCTTAAACTGAGGCGCGCTTTCCCTAACGAGGCCTCCTGCCGTCAGTGCCCTTCTACCCTTCGGCTTCCGTTCTTTGTCTGAGCTAAAGTTTGCAAACCAGGACACTATTTCTGGTTTTGTAGAGTTCGTAAACCGAATTGTTCTTAAACAGGACTGTTCTTAAACCG